GATCAATTATTAAACCAAAGAAATGAATTTATGTTTAAATGTCACCATAGAAATAGGTTTAAACTTTCCTAAAAATAGGCTTTTATTCTTTATAATTATATTCATCTTAGAGTTCGGTTTTTCCGGTTGTTGCTTGTTATGATTTATTTGGTGGCCTGATAATAATATGTATTATGTGTTATATATTATTCATAGGTATTATGTGTTATATGTATTATGTGTTATATGTATTATGTGTTACATATTATTAATATGTTAATGCAATGTGTATGTTTATATAATACCATCAAAATTATTTCGGTATTCAGATGTGTTTTTTTTCAAGATGTGTTTTTTTTTCATACTTTCGACCTTTTGCCACACTTAATATATATATATTTTAAAACGATCACCTATTCTTATGACATTTGACAGAAGAGATGTTTGGAAAAGTTTCATTAAAAAACTCACCCCACGGCCCTTCATCGAACAAGATATCTTCCTCTCGCTTCTGTCTTCATTTTTACCCGTTCTTGTTATTTATTGTCTCCCGCTACCATAAAATTTTCTTTTATTTCCTTTTTGCTTGTCTTTCTTTTTTAAATAAATTTATTTCCTGTGTTTAGTGCATTTAAACCAGTCTGAAGATGCAGTGTAGACCAACCGCTGAAAATAAATTTAAGTTTATAACTGTAAAATTCAAATTTAAAGTTTTTCTTTGAAATTTTTCTTAATTATATTGATATTGCCCTATATGATTTGTTATTATTCTCATACATTGAAATCTCTACTAGGAGTTTTACCTGGATATTCATTTAATAACTCCTCGGGATTATCCACATAACCAAAGGATTATATATATATATATATATATATATATATATATATATATAATTTCAATTTATTTTGTTTAAACGTTATTTTTCATGGATACTCATATTCGAATGGAAGCTCTGTTTTTAATTAAATAGTGTTTTTTTTTTTTATCCAAATACATCCACCGGCCTGAATAAAAGATAAAAGGAATATATTATATAATGTATTTTGCTTTGTATATATTTTTCTAATCATTTCACCCCAAACATCGCGGGAGTGCCACTAGTACGCAGAGTTTTACAGAGAGTGAAAGTGAGAGAAAAGTCTGGGTATAGGAGGGATTGAGGAAAGATAAAAGATGAACGGGTTTCAAGTCAACAGAAGATGGCGATTGACGTTGCCTTTAAATTTTTGAAAATTGAAGTTGTCAGGGAAGGAAGTAAGCGGATGGGAGTTCTACTGTCGGGAAATGCGAGAAAAGAAACTGTTGGAGTTGAAGTGGCGGTTACATTTAACTAATTCAACAGTAAAAGGGTGGGACCTAGATGCCAATCTAGTAGTACAGTAAAGCTTGTCAGAGCAGTTGCCATGAAAATATTTGTAGAAAGACAGAGGGAAACCACAACGTCTAATAGAAAAAGTCTGAAGTTGAGATGCCAAGTCTGAATCAGTTACAGAGCAGATTCTTCTTTCGATTTTGTCAAAAACCTCGAGACAAACAGCAGGGGCACCAGACCAGATATGGCAATAGTATTCAACAACATTCAATTTGTAAATGTGCAAGATGGACTCCGACGAAAAAACCTTTTGGCACTACAAAATGGACCAACTTTACTTCCAGGAGATGCAGCTATTGAATGAATGTAGTTGTTCCACTTTAAGTCAGTCAGACAGGGAAGTCAGTCAGACAGGGAAGTCAGTCGAGTCAGTACTTTCTGAGCGACTGTTCGGTTCAACTCTCTTCCTACGGACGGGAGGAACCCAAAGGAGGCTACGCCGAAGAGCGAGTCTCCTTCGGGGAGGTAGACCGGCCCTGAACCCGTTTATACGGGTTCTATGGGCATATTTTTGGCCGAGCCCACGGGCTCGGAATGCCCACGGGCTCGAAATGCCCACGGGCTCGGAATGCCCACGTTAAAAAGGCTTTGTGTCACATGACACCTTCGTGGGTGGGTGACTGAATATCGTCAGACAGGGAAGATTCTCTATGGTGGGTAAATGAGAGAAGTTTAGTTTCGGAAGCATTAAAATTTACAGGCCATTTCTTGCCCCAGTTAACCAAAGATTGAAGATCCTTTTCAAGAGCAGCGGCCAGGTTAACTTTATAAGCTCTGACGAATTTGTTATTGATACAGGAATAAGTGATAGTGTGATCTACATAAATGCCTACTTGTGAACTGATCTCGAAAGGAAGATCATTGATGAAGATCAGAAACAGCGTAGGACCCAGTATAACCTTGGGGGACACCTGCGTTTGTGTGAAAGAATCTGGAATGGATTCTGTTCAGGACTACCTTCATTTCACGACTTGATAGGGATGATTGAATTAAATTAAATAATCGTCCTGTAATACCGTAACCCTGAAGTTTACGTAGAAGACCAGCATGCCAAATCCTGTCAAACGCTTTTGAGATATCTAGAGCCACAGCTCGAGCTTCGCCGTTATTATCAAGAGCTTGATATACATATTCTGTGATGGCCGTAAGCACATCAGCAAAACGCAAGCCATATTTTTTGACAGAGAGTAGGTCCTGAGAAGTAAGATGCTTAACCACTTCAGCATTGATTAAAGCTTGGAATACTTTGCCGAAAAGCGATTGGAGACTATTAGGGCGACAGTTAAAAGGGTCAGAAAGTTCTCCAGATTTCTTAAAAAACGGGAAGTACAGAGAAGGACTTCCAACACGCAGGAAGCGCGAGGCAATAGTTTGGAGAGAACTGGGGCCAGTTTTGGGAGCACATTTCTGTAGGACGACAGATGGTAGCGTGTCACTTCCACTTGACTTATTGAGGTCTAATTTAGAAATTATGTCCAGTGACGGGGTAATGCGCATGTCACTCAGTATAATCTCAGTTCCAGCGGAAATCAGGTGAGGGGTACTCCAGATGAGTCGAGTGTTGTGTTGGAAGAGAATTTCCGGGCAAAGAATTCCACCTTTGCCGCTGTAGACGTCACAACTTCGAATTGATTGAATAGGGAAAGGATTGAGGAATTGGTCTTGTTCAGCAAAGTCTTGCAAAGCCGTCAATAATCTCTGGGACCAAACTTGCTAGAGGCGAAATTTTTTATATTTTACATTGAGTACTATAAAAAGCAATCTCTTTCTCTCTCGATATATATAAATAATTATCGGACTTTGCTCATTTCATAATATATATATATATATATATATATATATATAATTAGTATAAGTAAAATTGTCACGTAGCTGACTGATGTTACCTTCAGCACCGCGACTACAGAGTTTCGTAGACGTACACTCTGGGAATCACTCCTCCCACTGGTATCAGCAATATATATATATATATATATATATATATATATATACAGTGTAACCAGGATATAAGAAAACCCGGATATAAGAGAAACCCGGATATAAGAGAGAATTTCTCTGGTCCCAAATTAGAGCCTGTGTTAATGTATATAAAATAGACCAAACCCGGATATAAGAGAAAACCGGATATAAGAGACTTCTTCTCCGGTCACGACAACTCTCTTATATCCGGGTTACACTGTATATATAAAGATAAAGGTTTGGGAGAAATAACAAAAAGACAAAACTTATTAAAACCTATAAGGGACAGAAAGATGTGGAGGGCCATGATCGCCTACGTTCTGAAGGGACACGCCAAATAAAAGAAGGATCCCGCTCTGTCATTCATTTACACAGGATCATTAGCTATGCACTCCCTATTTCTTTCTGCCCTCCCTCGCTTTTTTGTGGCCTTTTTGTGTTATTTTTTTTGTGTTTTTTGTGCTTTTGGTGTTTTTGTGTTTATTTTTGGGTTTTTTGTGCTTATTTTTGTTTTTTTTTCTGTTTTTTTGTTTATTTTTTGTTTTGAATTTTGTTTTGAATTTTTGTGTTTTTGTTTGTTTTATTTGCTTTCTTCTATAACAAGGAATAAAATTTCATCTTAATTTGAATGCAAACTTTTGAGGATGAATACAAATGTATTTTTTTAATCATTTCACCCCAAGCAAGGCAATAAAGATACTTTATTTGACAGTACGTAATAACTGTTTTTTTTACCCTTCCCTTCAAAGACTAAAAACTTATATGCAAAACTCATAATTAATCAGATAAAATAGATTACCTGTACATCACCTAACTCCATACACTCCATACACATAATTATAAACATTTATTTATTTTTATTCTTTTCACCCAAGCAAGGCAATAAAAACCAATAAGATGCAAGGAGGTTTATTGAAAGAGACAGAAAGGACAATAATAGAACAGGATTCAAGGAAACTGAAGATGATTGACATTGTATTTAAATTTTTGAAGATCATAGTTGACAGGATATTTGAAATCTGATACTCACAGGACAGATTGAGTGGAAAGAGAGATAAAAGAAAGCAGTATGTAACATACTTGATGAGTTTGAGTAAATGGATGGTAGAACAGGGTTTGGGAGAAATAACAAAAAGACAAAGGTTATTAAGAGCTACAAGGGACATGAAGATGTGGAGGGCCACGATCGCCTACATGGGACATCATACGTAAAAGAAGAAAAATCTGGTTTACTTTAGATAAAATTGTCTCGATCAAAGCGTTTTGTAGCGATCGAAAAATGTTATTACTCAGTTGGCACAAGGTCAGGTAAATGTAGTGATTGGGGTAGAACAGACCATCCGAGTTTCAAAATGTTTTCCTGAGTTATTCTTGCCGTATGCGGCCTAGCGTTGTTATGGCAGAGAACCAGGAGATTGGCGGCAAGGTCTCATCATTTTACAGTTGAAAAGGCTAGATCTAACCTCTCTGGTACTTCTCGCTTGTGAAATTATTTTCTTGCTTCTTGCTTCCCAGTCAACTTTGGTCTTCAAAAGTTTAAATGCAATATCAATCGTTATCTTCTATCTTCTTAATTCTTGCTTTTTTATTTTTTTCTCTCTTTAATAGTGTTTTTTTTTATCCTCATATTCTCTAACATTCAGTAGTTGAGTAGTAAAACAATAACAAATTTTGATTCCTTATTTTCAGGACTTGGCGATGGCGGGCAGTTCAAGAATAAAACTATTTACAAGACACTGACGCGACTTGCTTATTGCCAATGTCGACTGCGGAAAGTGTTCGGAAGTGTTTTCGAGTATTTTCACTGGAAGGATATTTCGATCATTTATGATACTGGTAACGTCCACACGGATGTGCTCGGCACTACCTTGAAATTTGGGCTGGAACGAGGAAATTACACCCCGTTCATGGTCTCCTACAACGGTAACTTGCAGACCAGATGGCACGAATATCTCAAATCTGCATCACACAGATCCCGAGGTATAGTTACGGGGGGGGGGGGATTGGGGAACATTTTTTTTTTTGTCATTTCATTTCCGGAAGCGTTGCATCATATGACGAGTTTTTCGTACAAAAAAAGAAAACAAAAAAAAACAAAACAAAAAAACAAACAAGAAAAACAACACACACACACACACACACACACAAAACAAAACAAAACAAAAAACTAGAAGAATAAAATAAAGAAAAAAACAAAAAAAAAATGCGCGTTTAAGCTTTACCCGTTAAATTAAATCGCAAGTCAACCTCGCCCACCCTACGAATTTTGTAACTGTCCCCCCCTCCATTCTGGAATCAAGCTCTTGTTTTCCCCAGGTTATGGAAGAGAAAGCCAGTCAGCATTATTTATAGTAGGAAGGAGATGATATCTGATGGAGTTCGAATTTCGCTCTTTTTATCAAAATATTAGGTTGGCAAGAAAATCCTGACTCATTTAAACATGAAAAAAAAAAAAAAAAAAGTAACAAAACAAATGCTTCTTTGGTCTTTATTGCATTATTTAATCAAGGTAATACAAAATTTCAGATATAGTATATCTGTAAAAGGACAATGTGAATAAAGACAAAATGAAGACTTATCTTAGCTGACGCGTTTCGACCTCTGAGGGACTTTATCAAAGCAAAAGTCCCTCAGAGGACGAAACGCATCGGCTAAGATAAGTTTTCATTTTTTTTTTATATATATATATATATATATATATATATATATATATATATATATATATTAAAATGTCTTAAAATAATTGTCGGACTTTGTCCATTTCATAATGTGTGACGTCATTTGTTTACATTTGGAAACGTTTTGAGCAGATATGAATAAACGTGAGATATTCTTGAAGATTGTAGTTTAAAAGCAGTAAAATCGACCTTGCTAACCGAACGATCCTCTGTGGCACGTCAGGCTATATGACGGTTCCGTATAAGATACAGGTTCGATTCCTGTCGGAGGACGAATATTTTCTATATATATATATATATATATATATATATATATATATATATATATATATATATATATATATAGTAAACCCGGATATAAGAGACCCAGATATAAGAGAAGCCCGGATATAAGAGAGATTTTCTCTGGTCCCAAATTAGAGCCTGCGTTAATGTATATAAAATAGACCAAACCCGGATATAAGAGACTTCTCCAGTCCCGACAACTCTCTTATATCCGGGTTACACTGTATATAGATATGACATGACCAATCTTTCGGTAATTGAACTAACTTCATTGGTAAACCTACAAGAAGAAAAAATAAAGACACCTATCTGCCTCCCTAAATAATCTTTTCCTGTTCTTTAAAATTTCAACATGTGTACAAAACGTACTTTGAAAATTTAATGAATTTTCTATCGAATATCTTTATATATATATATATATATATATATATATATATATATATAGAGAGAGAGAGAGAGAGAGAGAGACATAGATAGATAGATAGATAGATAGATATTATAATGTGTTCTCAATTACCCGAGGTAAGTGTGTATAAAGTTAAATCCAAGTAAACCTTGTACGGACAGATACAAATCTTAAACATGAATGGGATCAAAACTCCCACAATTGAGTCGGCTCTGATGTTTTAATGCTAAAAGTGGTTTTCTTGCATAAACTATTCCTCTTTTATTTTCTTGCCATATTCACGACATTTCGGCCATTTTACACTCTGGCCTTCTTCAGGTGGTTGGAATTTCGAACTGAACCATTTATTTCGTCCTCCGGGGTACACTGTTCTAGTTTCACGTGCCATGACTCTCCCGGATGATTCAGTATTAGCTATCTACCGTTAACTCAACTGTTAAAGTTTTTTTTTTTCACCTTTGCTGTAGCCAAGTATTGACCTCACAACACTTTGGGTCAAGTTATTGGATTCAACCAACGCTAAACGACGCGAATATGACATCGAAGATGAGGACAACAGTCTGAACAATGTAAATAGTGTAAATAATTACAGTACCTCATCCCGGAAATATACACATAGATTCATCTTTTAGAAGTTATACCGACTTAGAAAATGTTTTTGGATAATATGCCATTTTTTATGCTAAAAAACTTTGTCTTGATTTTATAATTTGTTTTCAATTTCCCTTGCATTGACCAACATTGAAGGAATTAAATAAATGCCTTATTTTCTGTATATTTTAATTGAAGTTATTCTGCTGATCGTCCCGGGCGATTCAAAGCGCGAACTACTGCTTGAGGCTTACAACATGGGCTTCATCAATGGTGAATACGTGTTCATGGATGTGGATTTATTCTACTTCCCTTCCTATTTCGGCGACCACCACTGGAAGCGAAACGATGAACGCGATGGCATCGCCAAACTGGCATACGAGGCTCTTCTTCGGGTGTCCTTGCACGTGTCCGCCGGATATGAGTGGTTCCAGTTTGAGAAAGAGATCAAGCGGCTCTCTAGCAACCAATACAATTTCACGTTCGGCAATGAAACGGTGAGTAGTTGGGTGACATCATTAAAATACTATAAAACTAAACCTCCTTTTCTCTGTCGCTTATTTATAATTGTTGTGGCATACCTACGAACGATAATGGGTATGTCCCCATTGACATAAATACTAGTAGTAAATACTGTATGTTGGCCTGCAGTTGGAGATTCGTCTCCAGATGTGCTGGCAAAACCCTCTGCCTCCGGGCAGAGAGGATCCCCAGAAGAGGCTATGTCGAAGGGTAGAGTCTCGTCCCTGGAAACAGCTACCCGACCTCGTTTTATGCGGGGTCTACGGGGAATTTTTGCCCGAGCATACGGGTTTTGGTTGGTATCCTGCAGTTGGAGATTCATTGTGAACTTCTAGCAGTGGAATACTTTTATGCGCCGCTGGAGAATCTTATATGTGTTGTTCGTGTCCTAGGTATTATCGTCCATTATCAACCTTCGTATGATTATTTTATTCAGTAACCTTCCCTAGGTCACAGTAATGATATTGATAGACAATATTACAGTATAAATATAATATTTTCCCGACTAATTATTAAATTAATGGATTTATCTTTTAATCCGACATTTTTTTTACGGCAAACATTTTTATAATGAATACTTCGTATTTGAAACAAACGCTCCGTTTTTATTTATTAGACAGTGTGTATTATGTCTATCGAGCTACGCATTCGAGAAATTTTAGTAATAAAATACGTTAAAAATAAATCCATTAATTCTTTAGGAATTGCTTCGTTTACATTTCGGATACGAAACTGCGCAGATATGGAGGTTTCCAGAAAATAATGTGGGTGAAGAGGGTGAAGAGGAAGTGCTTTCTTTAATAAACTTACATACATATAGAATTATCTACGGTTTTAATGCATGTGATACGTGACGAGCCAATGAGAATTGACTCAAACATAACTGAAAATTCCAAAGTTCTGTTTTTTTGTCTTTTTTTCTTTCCGACGAAGCGTTAATAAAAGTGAAACGTCTTAGACTGATATACGTTTCTTAATTGTTCTTTATCTTACGATATATATATATATATATATATATATATATATATATATATATATATATATATATATATTCTGCAGTGAGCTGTACTTAACCGAACAGTTAGGCCCTGATACGTTTAAATCAATACGAGAGTTGGACCCTCATACGTCTAAATCATTAAGCGAGTCCAATATATATATATATATATATATATATATATATATATATATATATATAGAGAGAGAGAGAGAGAGAAGATAGAGAGAGAAAAGAGAAATAAGGAGAGAGAGCGGATTAATTTATGTTTCGGTAATATATACATAGTGTATATATTTGTGTACTCGTGCGCGCCTGCAACTGGACTCGGAAAATGTATTATGTGATTTCGTCCAGTGTTTGCATTTGATATTATTTAAACTCCACTTTGATATAAATCACCGTTTAATAATAATAATAATAATAATTGCAAATTACATTCTTTACAGTATTAAAGAAATTTTAATTAAGATAAATAATGCCACATTACTTATCAACATTAACCACTGATGCCCTGTTATCAGCATATCGCACTTTTTCCATCCTTTCTTTACGTATTAGTTGTTCTGTTATTTCCTTTACTGACACTTACTCCTCTGCTAGTGACATGGAGGAGCTCTCACCGAAATTACGCAAACTCGCTATGGAATTTCTACAGGTATAACAAATTATGTAATTTCTTTTACTAATATTACTACAACTACGAACATTCAGTATCTGTCTATATTTCTGAGATGAGGTATTATGTACATTATTTACATTATTCGGACTATTGTCCTCATCTTTGTCGCCATATTTATTACTACTTTACGGCCGTTGTACGCTCCGGCCTTCTTCAGGTGGTTGGAATGTCGAACTGAAGCCTTTATTTCGCTCACTGGGGTAGATTGTTCTAGTTCCACGTGTCATGTCTAATGGATGTCAGTTATCAGTTATCTCCTGTTAATTTCCCTCCTCGTAGTAAGACAGTATATGTATGGAGGGGGAACATACGCACGCATATATACACTCATGCTGACAGAAACACGCAAAAATGGAAACAGATCCAAGAACACATAGGGGTCAGTAAAATATTAAAAGATAAAATGCCGATAAGCAATTCATCATTTCGCTTGGACCAACCTTAATTGTTTTATGACCCTTCGCGCAGAACTCTTCATTGCCAATACAAGAAAGAAATTCGGATTACTAACACAGAAAATGTCTCATATCGAGAATATTTAACATTGAAAAACTAAAGAAAAATTAATTATTTTTAATAATATGTGGAAATCTCCGCTTTTGCCTGAAGACGGTCACGAGACTAGAAACACGTGTAGTAAAATTATGTAAAACAAAGCATAATATTTTTTTCTAAATAAATCCACATTACAACCAAAAAAGTTTGCGGCACGTCTCTTCTTTTTAATATACATAATATATATATGAAGAAATATAGTTTTAAGGCGTGCTAAATTTATGGGATAAAGTGCCCAATATCAGAGATAGAGCGTATGTAAATATTAAAGAGAACAGTGAAGTTAACACTCAGAGGTGACAGACTGTTTCATACTGGATGCAATCGTCAGGCCGATATACATAAAGATAATGTTGTCATCTACAGACAGACTGTTCTGCTGTATCACAGCTCTTCAGTGTGTCTATACGTCCGATTGCTTCAAGCCGGGATCGAAACCCGACGGATTTGGTATCAGTCAGAGATTCTACTCCTAGGCTATCATCGCACGGCGGAGAGGAAAGGAAATTTTAACGTTTTCTATGCAAAATACGTCAGTGGCCCGAAGAGCTCAATTCAATTCAGTTGAAGAGCAATGCGTTAACAGAGGTATGAACTACTGTTTTTAAAACTTGGCCCAACACTACCGTATCCCGAAAAACTAAAAATCTTACTTGCAATCAACGTTCTTGTTTTTTTCGGATCTGTTCCAAGTGAACCTTTTATTACAGACAAAACTGTGATACACTACAGCTTATTTTATTCCCCAATGAATTTTTGGGATATTTCTCTCTCTCCTTTTTTTTTTTTAAATCTTCATTCTATGGTCTACAGGAACATTAATATGTACGATCCAGTAGACATTGTTTTCCTTGATTATATTTGCTAGATCCAGGCTTGGATGGGGTAGTCGGTCTGGATCCTAAACTCTAAGACTATTTTCATGGGTGACCTTTGGTTTGTCTTCATATTAAGGTTTCACATAATTTAAACCAACTATTTTGCCTAATACTTCCTCGTGACTACACATATTGATTAATGCATTATGCATAATATAATAGCTGGCCACTCGTATTCGAGGACACCCGTCTATTAGGGCGGCTAGCCAGTCCCTATTGAAGACGCTCACTCAAACACACTTGTGTTAGTTCAACACCCACATAGCCCATCTTTGTTTTATACTGCAACTATGTTGAGCAGACCTTAGTTATAGTTTCTGGGAGACAGCGTGTTGAACAAGGCCAGCACGTTCAAGCTCTCGGTCACATCTACTGACGGCCCAAAGGAGTTCCGTCTATCCAATTTCACTCAGAAGCCTTGGGTCAATCCGTGGTATGTTTCTCAAGCACTTTTCAAAGGTACCGCACGCTGGGATCGTCCCCACTCTAGATCGATAACATCAGCAAGTCTCCTTCCTGACAAATCAACCGTGGTGAGATTCGAACCCGAGTCTCATGGCCCATAATACATTATACATACTGATGTCTATACATACTGATGTTTATACATACTGATTACTGCATTCAGTTATAATGTTATTTACTTCTTTTTTTTTCTACAGACCTGAATCATCTGCTTGCTTCGAACATTTCTCTCTATAAAGTCCGGATACATAGGAAATCATTGACTATATATTTTCTACCTTCACAGATTAAACATAGTTTTGTCGAAAGAAGTAAGAATTAACTTCTTTTTCTGGGGTATACTAGACGAGAAGGTGTATTCAATGAAAATCACAGATGCCACACACTTGATTGAACGCATAAAAAGTGAATGTGATAAAAGAGACGGCAATGTGGAGACATTGCATCGAGTTTACGTGAATCTTGCAAAGCGCATCAACTTTTGCATCAGAAACGATGGAAATCATATTGAAGATGTTATTTGTTAATATTCCAATTCAATAAAATATTGCAAATTTAATTTCTTGAAAATATGTCGTTTTTCTATGGTTTCTCATTTTCTTGGTATATTTCATTCTGAAATATTCAATATTCTTTTATTATTTAATTCTTTCTCGTGTAGCCGTTTGTTCTTGTTGTAGAGATAGAGAAGATGATATATATATATATATATATATATATATATATATATATATATATATATATATATATATATATAATTATTTTTTATAAAAAATTATAACATAAGTATGTTATAAGATCACTACAAAAATAGCCATTTTGTTTCAACACATTCTGTGTCTTCTCAAGTGATGATGTTGAAAATAAAATAAATGGTTTTAAAAAGTTTCAGATTAATTAACGATCCTACACTAGGGGGAGCATTGTTACAAAAGCTAGAATAACCAATCAAAAACGAAGTATAGAAAGATTCAAAAGCTTGACAACGAAATCCTGCTATAATAGCTATTCAGATCTTTAAATACGTGTAATATTAAAAATAATTTATACTAACTAATAATTATAAAATCATATGATAAAATTTAATATTAAAATTAAAAATTGGTAATTTTAAAATCCAAATTTAATCACTATTAAGTTTAAAAACTACAAAATTATTGGGAAAAGAAAAAATATATGTTTATTCAATTCATTTCTTCATTGAAATTATGTTCGACAAGGACGCTACAATATATCCGGTCATTTGATAATACATGTATATATATTTTTTTCCCTTTCCCTTTCATTTCCGTTTTTATTTTAAAGTTTGTGGATGTGGTCTTAAACTCACGCGTCAAGATAACAAAAACACAATCAGATTATAATACATAAGCACCCAGACATAATTAGATACACACACACACACACACACACACACACACACACACACACACACACACAAACACACACATACATACACACATACACACAAAAAAAAAAAAAAAAAAAAAAGAAGGAGGTGGTGGGGAAAAACATGAACATCTCTACAGCCCTTTATGAAAAAAGGGAGACGTGGAAACTAACACTAATACACACACACAGTGAATACACTCTACATACACATAGACACCGATAGATACACATACATACATCCACAGACAATGACAGACAATGAGAAATCACAACCAATAAATATTTCAGACTTAAATAAATGCTAACCACTTATTGAATTATAACTTAAGGGAGCAAATATACAAAGATAAAAATGGTTAAAAATAATATTATTTAATATATTAAAACGAAAATTCTAAAACCATAAATATCAATAAAAATATATATTAATCATATAAGTTGATAATAGTTTCATTATATATTAGGCAAGGAAAAACAGTATACAGAAACACACAACTATATACATATATATATATATATATATATATATATATATATATATATATATATATATATATATATACACGAGCAAAAAAACAAATTAACACACATAAATATACACTCATACATACATATACATATATATTTACATACAGAAATGCATACAAATAAATATATAAACATAAACATATACGCACATATACATATCTATGATAACAAGTACACATGCACGCACATATACATATAAACCTAAATACACCCACATATATACACACAAACTTTTATGCACACATACTTACATATATAAAAAAAAAGTCATGATATACCAAAGTTTCCATACCCCACATACACACAAACAAACTCATACATAATAGGTGCCAACACACACACATATATATATATACACATAAACATACATAAATATATATACACACATACATACATATCTACAAATAAACATATATATAAAAAAATCTATCTACAATAACAACTAACCATATACACATGCATACATAAAAATACAACAACACTCAACCAAATACATACATAAACGTACTAACATATAGATACATAAATATACCTTCAAAAACCAACACACACCAATATACATATAGTCTAACATACAAATATATAAACACAATCATACAAACAGAAATATACTTAAATATAGATATACATACACAATAAAATAGGACATACAGATATATATATATGCACACACATATATATATATATACATACATACATACACACATACACACACACAGACATATATATATACAAATATATAGTGGCGTAAAGCCGAAATTAGGAGGCACTCAGTGAGGAACTAATTCATTACTCAGTCGCACCTAGTCCCGCGAACCATGCTGGCCAACCATTATACTGCCGTGATTTTATCATACATATACATATATATATTTATACATATACACATACACACACATACATACATATACACACATACATACATATATATATGCATACATATATACATATATACAACCACACACACACACACTTATATATATACACATACATATATATATATATTTACATATATACATACATACATATACACACACCCATACACACGTACATATATAGGCACACACGTACATATATAGCGTAACAATTATTAACCTCCTCTCTTATCATCTACCATACCTTCCCACCTAATATATATACATATATACACACACACTCACATATATATACACACACACACACACACACACCCACACATATATATATATTTATAAAAAAAAAAATAAAAAAATAAATACACATACACCAACCTACACATTCCTCAGTGCCAATACTCTAACCAACACATAAATAAATATATACACATTTGCACCAACACTAATAACACTATGCAGGTATACAATACACACTTATATCGTAAGTATGACCATCATGCAATAAAACACTAATCTATTAAAAATACAGCGACATATCATTATCATTTAAAGTATACGACCCCTACACTAAGTTAAATTTATAACGGTGTTTACAATTTATATATATATATATATATATATATATATATATACACACACATTTGGTGGAGATAAATCACATAGGTCACGTGACGACCGCTTAGTGTTGTCCCTTTATACAGTGACGAGTGGCTAGTCATTCAGTTTGTTTGAAGCAGCCAAACCGAGCGATTGCTTCTTTTAGCCTGGGCCAAGGGACTCGGGTCTAGATGCTAAATCTGCGCCTCCAGCAAATGCTACAGCTTACAAGTCCATGGTGCCGTTTCCCCTTGGGAAAATATATTTCCCGATATAGAAAGAAACTCCAAATCTCAGTCCTCAATTTGGGAAAAACCCAAGACTCTTCGGGGAATATGTGCTCGCCTGTAACATAGTAGATGAATCTAGCCCGTTTGAATCTGGAGTCCTAAGGCTTCTCCAGACACAGATGTATTTTCATATTATATGGAAGACCCTTCTTTTTTGTTCTTTTTCTTACACTCTGCTTGCTCTTTAGATATATGATGCATGGTTTAACCGCGCACAACACGTGTATATGTGTATATATATAATTTTGTTTACGACGTAGCATTATACAACTCTCTCTGACATTCCTTTTCATGTTTGATATTCCTTTTCCTTTCAGCCATGTTTGACATGTTCAGCATGTTTGACATTCCTTTTCATTTCAGCCATGTTTGACATGTTCAGCATGTTTGACATCCCTTTTCATTTCAGCTATGTTTGACATGTTCAGCATGTTTGACATCCCTTTTCATTTCAGCCATGTTTGACATGTTCAGCATGTTTGACATTCCTTTTCATTTCAGCCATGTTTGACATGTTCAGCATGTTTGACTTTCCTTTTCGTTTCAGCCATGTTTGACATGTTCAGCATGTTTGACTTTCCTTTTCATTTCAGCTATGTTTGACATGTTCAGCATGTTTGACATCCCTTTTCATTTCAGCCATGTTTGACATGTTCAGCATGTTTGACATTCCTTTTCATTTCAGCCATGTTTGACATGTTCAGCATGTTTGACTTTCCTTTTCATTTCAGCCATGTTTGACATGTTCAGCATGTTTGACATTCCTTTTCATTTCAGCCATGTTTGACATGTTCAGCATGTTTGACATTCCTTTTCATTTCAGCCATGTTTGACATGTTCAGCATGTTTGACATTCCTTTTCATTTCAGCCATGTTTGACATTCTTTTTCTCTTTTTGGTTTCAGTGAAAATTATTCCCGGTTCTCTTTTTAGGTCTTCTTTGCATAAATCATCCGCAGAACGTTTCATCTGAGCTAATTCCTTTTTGCTTTTTTATTTGCAGTTTTGTTTTGATCATTTTCCTTGCCTTTGTTTGTTTGTTACCCTTCATGATATTTTCTGTGTTCTGTCGTGTGTGTGTGTGTGTTGCCAGTCATAGCTGATTAAATCCAATCGTTGATATTGATAAAGGCTCTTCTCACTTCTTTTCTCTTTGCATAGAATCCTGGCGTTACTTACTAAAGGTCAAGTAAACGAGTAACTCTCGCCCAGAACGAGAGACTTATCTCAAATCTCGTCAAAACTAAAAATCTTCGCTCTCAGTGGAACGATAAAATTTTAGATAAGTCTATAGCTCTGAACGAGAGTTACACTATTACTTGGCCTTGAGTAAATGGACACCATGCATAGAATGTTAGTCTTCTCACTTGCTGTTATTATTTTTCCAGGCTAATTTTTTTATGGGCGCATTCCATGATTCGATGCTTCTCTACGGAATGGCTTTAAATGAAACTCTCATGAATGGTGGAGACCCAGGGGACGGATATGCCATATCAAGACGAATGTGGAACCGAACCTTTCAGGGTAAGAAATCAATTAAGCTTTAGTTGTTTTCTGGTGTTCTGGAAGTTATTTCAATTATTGAGGCTATAATCGTCATCTATATTCTTTATTAACACATATCAACCTTAGTTGTCTGTATTTGGAAAGAACAGTCTGTAAAGTGAAAGAATGCGCGCATATGCCATTATAAAATAAATTACTGTGTAAGCTGAGGGTAGAATTTCACACCATATGGAAACTCGTGCCCCAAAGAAATAATTTTCGAAGTTAAGACTCACCTTACGAGGAATGCACACATGATCTTTCAAAGCTTTGAATTCATAGTAATGAAAACTTATAATGTTCCCCACCCAAGAGCCAGAAAAGAGATTTCAGTTTCCTCCGTCCTCTTACACGGGAGCTTAATACTTAGTGTCGTGATTCGTAACATAAGAGCCCTTCAGTACTTCTGTCCAGGGAACACATTCCAACCAGGTTCGTAATAGCACCCAGTCATGTGATTCTGGTGGAAAAGAGGGAAAGGCAAAGAACTCAAATTAGCATACAATATACACTCGAAAAAAATCGAAAAATATCTGAATCATTTATAAAATAACTTCATTGGCTTCGGCTATTTAACAGAATATAAAATATAAATTGCTTCTTAAGATTTAAAGAAAATATTAGATTTCACCCAATACAAGGTTTGAGACATTTAAAGTAGAGGTTTATTACTGTTAAAACGATAATGATAAACGAGGTGTGTGATATGAATGAAAGAAGTGTAGGAGGTGAAAATTATGAGCTTAAGGAGGAATGATGAAGATTGACCTTTGACCTGAAGAGGTTAATATTGAAGTGTTCATGGAAACACCCATACGACAGTTTGTTCCCTAAAGTGGCAGTTCTTGGGAGAAAAAGCTGTCTGAGTAGAAACTTCTTTCAACATTTGGTATACGGAAGAAATGGCGGTGATTCGACTCCGTGGAAGTAGCATGGGGTGTCCTAGCTCTAAAGCTCTGAACTGGTGAAACTAAAGAATGGAGCTCATTTTCCAACATAATAAATTTCCCTTCCTTTTGAAGAACACATTTTAAAAATGGCCAAGTGTTATGGATATCTCATCGTTGTGCACAACTTAGCAAGCAACTTACTTAGGTGGCTACTATAGTGGATTCGATGATCCCTGGGTGACTCACGCTTGCGCCCTTAGAGCAAACTAGGCTAAGCTTAATACACAGGGTGAGGCAAATGTAGCTCAGTACAGGGGTAATTTATTAAAGGTATAATTACATATGAAAATTTATTTACTAGTTATTTAATCGTTAGATATGCTGTTCAAAATGTCCTCCTCCTCCTTTTTCAAAACACATTTTAATTCTGTACCTGCATGACTCATTAATACGTCGGAGAGTTTCCTCTGTCATTTTACTGCATTCATATTTAATTCTTTCTTTAAGTTCTTCAGTATTTCTTGATAAACAACCGATTTCAAATGGCCACACAAAATATGAAAATATCAAAGCAAATTAGACATTTGAAACATGATTAATTAATTAACTGCTATGCTGCCCGACTTTTGCCTCTTCTTGCCTCTTACCTAGCTGTGAAGTAATGTTATAAACTAGTCTCACTCCTGTAATGAGTTCTATCCTTATTGAATTCCCTACACTTGCAGTTTTGTGTCCTCAATCTGTGCCGCTATCTATTACTCCATCGTGCTTTCTAACAAATCATACTCTTACCAAATCATAGTGCCATATTTAGAGCTAAATGAAATCACCATATTTAGTAACAAATCATAGTACTATATTTAGTACCAAATCATAGTACCAGATTTAGTGCTAAATCAAAGCACCATATTTAGTATCAATTCATAATACCATATTTAGTGCCAGATATAAAGTGAACCAAGATTTAGGTTCAATCAATATATCCAATAAATCAATAAACTAAAAATCGACTCATACATGAATAGATACGACATGAACCACTGTATTGACTTTCAGCTTTTTTTACGTCCTTCTTTTTCTTTACTTCGACTACCATCCTAAAAATAATTAAAAAAAATCACCATGATTTTTTTTTTCTACAGACCTGAATCATCTGCTTGCTTCGAACATTTCTCTCTATAAAGTCCGGATACATAGGAAATCATTGACTATATATTTTCTACCTTCACAGATTAAACATAGTTTTGTCGAAAGAAGTAAGAATTAACTTCTTTTTCTGGGGTATACTAGACGAGAAGGTGTATTCAATGAAAATCACAGATGCCACACACTTGATTGAATGCATAAAAAGTGAATGTGATAAAAGAGACGGCAATGTGGAGATATTGCCTCGAGTACGTGAATCTTGCAAAGCGCACCTTTGCATCAGAAACGATGGAAATCATATTGAAGATGTTATTTGTTAATATTCCAATTCAATAAAATATTGCAAATTTAATTTGTTGAAAATATGCATTTTTGTCTGTGTCCAGACTTTAGGGATACCCTGTACATTAGACATTTTCCTTCTCTAATATTGTATAGATTTCTCTTTCATGAATAGAGAAATAAAATATCTAATGACTTTTAATGCTCTTTCTCTTAATATTGAGCGCTCTATTTACATAATTTGCTCGTCCTAAATGCATTATCTTCCAGTAATTTACTCGTCTACGAGTTTTGTTTGGAGGTAGCGACGAAAGAAAGATTTATTCTCCCAATTGTACCCCAACCCCGTTATGGGCATTACAATATACTTGATATAACGTCGTAATTCACGGAAGGAACGGAATGATTGAAAGGAAAACGAATGATAAACATACTTTGTCCTCAGAGAGATTTTAAAGACATACACAAAACTATATATACATACAAACACATGAGTCCCACGAGGAGAATAATATATCACATATATCTACAGAGAAAAGCAGAGTGTAAGGAGAAACAAAAAGAAACGGTTTTACATATAATATGGAGATACACCTGTATCTGGAGAAGCCACGTTTAGAACTCCAGATTCATTTATGTTCCAGGCGAGGATATATTCCACGAAAAGGAAACAGCGAGTCTTCAATTTTCTAAAATTGAGGACTGTGAGCTGGAGTTTTATTCTATATCTGGGAAAGATATGTTTCCAAAAGGTTTTGTAAGCTGCTGGGGGAGGCAGATTTAGCCTCAATCTGGGCCCTTTAAAAGGAAGCAACCTCACGTGGTGGCTGTTGTAAACGAAATAGATTTGGCTGCCGCTTTCCTTTATTGTATGGTGTGACGTCATGTAACCTACGTGACTTATCTCCAGTAAACGGGATAAGCGCCTTCTGTATCCCTTTAGGCGTCAACAATCTTTTGTTATTATTTATTTAATATATACTGTTCAATATATATTTGAATAATTGCTTTATTTTATTTTTTTTTAACTCTACTGCATATAAGTGCATTAACAAAAATTATTTTGTGAATATTTCCAGGAATCACCGGAAAAGTCATAATTGATGACAATGGCGATAGATTGACAAGTTTTTCCATCACAGACATGAATCCCAAAACAGCAGAATTTCAAGTAAGTCTTTGACAGAGTTATTTCACAGACTATAGAACTGTTATCAAGCAGTTTTGTATTTAACTTTTCAGAAAGAATTCCCGTTTAAACAGAGTTAAATAAATGTTATATAAATCATCATAAAATGTCATAAATCATTTTAGTAAATAAAATGAATAAGGATATTACACAAGTGGATTAAATTAATTTAGCTTCATATTCAGCCACATAAGTTTTTTAGTTTTTTTTTTTTATCGGTATCGCCCAATATAAGACAGTGAAACCATTAAGACAAAAGATTACAAGAGGTGGAAGAATTAGAAACAGAAACATTAATAATGAGCAGGAAGAAAAAAAGAGTAATCAGGAGGACAGTAGATAGCGGTTGAGCATTTAAATTTTTGCAGATTAAAGTTGGTTGGAAAACATGGAGCCGGAAGCCAGAAGAGCGAGAAAAGAAACTGTCAGCATAGAACTTACGGTTACATCTAGACCAGCTCACCTGTTAATTGATGAGATCTCGACGCCAGTCTAGTATTGCGCTTAAGCCTTTGAGCCCTGACCACCGCTTTACCGGTGGTAGAGAAAAATGACGTAATGCTCAGTTACCGGTTGAACAGTGGTAGAGAAAATTTACTTAATACCCAGCTACTTGTTGAACGGTGGGTAAACACTTGTAACTATTTTTATATCTACCGTGAAATATTACATACCAATTTTTTGCGAGTTTTGACTCAGGAGCTCAGGCAGAAGGGTTAAAATTGTTCGGGAACACAGGGCTTAAAGAGTTACATTCAAAAACTTCGGGTACCATAGCGAAGAGATCATCTGAACAATTACCATGAAAGTATTAATAGAAAAGTCATAGAGAGGCAACCTTATGGCGGTGGGTAAGTAACTGAAGCCGACATGCCATATCAGGACCAATAATATTGCTGATTCTTCTTTGGATTTTATCAAGGAGATCAAAGTAAATAGCAGAGGCACCGGACTATATGTGGCAGAAATATTCTAAGCATGGATGAAAGGTAGATTTATAGATATGTAAGATATATTCTGGAGTGAAACATTATTATCCCGAGAAGGGCTAACTTATAAAAGTTTTAATACACATGATATAAATGACAATTGTGGTTCTTTTATGTACCGTTCAGGGCATGGGGGATCATGGCTCTCCACAATTTTCTATCTTTTGTAACCCTAGTAAAGTTTATATTTGTGTTATTATATCTCCTAATTTCTGTTGTGTTAACCATTTAAACAAACGAGTTAGGTAAGTTATGTGCTGCTTCCCCCCCCTCTCTCTCTTGCCTTACATGAGAAAATCATAATTTTGTTTTCACAGACACTAACAAATTTGATATATTTATATATGCCTACCGAGTGTATCCATGGTGAAAAAACTCTTTAATATATTGATTACTATCATAACTGATGTAATAGAATAACCAGACATCCCCATGAGTGATACTTATAGGTAGTAACTGCCTATAAGTATCCGTAAGGCATCGGACTACAGGAGTCTAGCTGGAATCTTTTTCGGTTATACAGTCAAACTCTCTGCCTTCGGGCAGAGAGGAGAACGGACGAGGCCTTGCCAAAGGACAGAGTCTTGTTTGGGGGAGGTAAACTGACCCTGAACCTGTTTATACGGGTTCGAAAGGGAATATTTTTGGCCGAGCCTACGGGCTCAGAAGACCCACGTAAAACTAGGCCTTGTGACACATCTACCCTTGTGGCGGGGGATGGGGGGCTAGTAGATATTGTTCAGCTGGAATCTTTTTCGGCTTGCAGGTCGAACTCTCTGCCTCTGCGCTGAGAGGAACCCGGACGAGGCTCTGCCGAAGGGCAGAGTAGAGTTCGGGGAGGTTGACCAATCCGATCTCCTTTATGCGGGTTCTACGGGGATTTCTTTGGCCGAGCCTTCGGGCTCGGAAGACCCACGTAAAACTCGGCCTTGTGCCTTCATGGTGTGGGGCTAGTAAATACCGTCTAGCTGGAATCTGTTCCAGCTGTACTGGTCGAACACTCTGCCTTCGTCCGGGAAGGTAGACAGACTCGAACCCGTTTATGCCGGGTAACGGGAAATTTCCCGTAACCCCGCATAACTTTTGAAATATATACAAATTGTGAAGTATATATTGCCCCACATTAAATTCGGACTTGTGCCACATCCTACCTCCTGGGGAGGCTGGTAAATATTGTATAACTGTGTTCTGTGGAGTACGTCTCAGACTTACGCGTGGACTACCGACCTATTAATAGTAACACTCACTACTGGATTGACTTGCGACGATCGTGCGCATAACCCTTACCTTATTTCTTATTGTACTGATTTCTACAATAAACCTTTAATTATTTTTTCCTCCGTGTTTGTGAAGTATATATTCCTATTAGCACGGAAAATGACGATCGTGCGCATAACCCTTACCTTATTTCTTATTGTACTGGTTTCTACAATAAACCTTTACTTATTTTATCCACCGTGTTGTTGAAGAGCATAATCCTATTAACACGGACTATAACGATATCTAATTTAAGCTTTTGATAACCACCTTGTCATTTGTTATAATTTAGTTAATGTTCAATTGTAGGTCGTGGCCGATTATTTAGGCGACAAACCATATTATGACCCCATTCCGAACGTTGAAATCCACTGGCCGGGAAATTATGGAAGACCGCCACAGAACGAGCCTCGATGTGGTTTCAGAGGAGAGAAGAAAATTTGTATGAAAACTGGTAATTCTATATTGTATTTTATTTTATTTTATTAACACATTTTATACTTTAGGAAATATTTTTGGGGCTACAGTAATTGATGTTTGAAGAAATCATTTTCCAAAACTTAATTTTTATTAAAAATTATTAGAAAATGATTATCTTTGGGTTTTTTTAATCAATAAAATATTTTTTCTGCTAAAAAGATAAAGATAAAGAACTGTAACAACAGGAAAATAATAATAATAACAACAAAAACGTTAGATTACAATTTAAAATGTTAACCCATTTAAAAGATAACATGGTGATAGAAGCGACCACAAGTGATATTGTTTGTTAATAGGGTTACTACCCTATAACTGTTACTGTCTCTGCTAATGTTATACTCCTACCAGTTTATCGCGAAGTTCAAAGTATATATATATATATATATATATATATATATATATATATATATATATATATATATATATATTTCGTGTGTGTGTGTGTAATAGAATTTTTGTGAGATTTGAACAATTGCTCATAATAATTCATCGAGTCATGAACAAGAATCCTCAACAGAATTCAGAAAGCACTGGACGGCATCAAGAGTATCGGTCATTGACGATCTTGTGTGAGACTAGGATGAAGCCATTCGCGAGTACGAGTAACGTCCAAGTATATGTCATAGCAAGCATTTACTTATTCAAATCTCCCCCAAATTCAATCACACACACACACACACACACACACACACACACACACACACACACACACACACACACACACATATATATATATATATATATACCATTGTAAATAATAATAGGAAAGTGTTGTGACCAAGTAAATGTTTAAGTACACCAGAAGAGTATTAAACGACTAGTAAGAGTGTATCGAATGAACCAGCGCTCAATCTGTTCACTGTTCCCTGTTCCTTCTCTCCTACTAAACGTATAGTAGGCGGAAGAGTCTAACATAGACTCTTAGAGGGAGGACACCACAACAGAAAGTCAACAATTTAGTTTACTAGAATTAACAGCTCGGAGATCACGAGTTCTAGTCTAAAAATATCATCCACAACCTGAACTGGACTAACAAAGTTTTAGTATCAGGTAGATGCAACAAATTCAGAACTATAAGTTTAATTTGGTTACACGAATTTTACTTAGAACTTTCAAGAAGAACAAAACAAAAGCATAACAGTTGATGGCGTGATATAACAACCAAAAGCAAGATAGAATAGCTGTATACATAATACCTATATATATATATATATATATATATATATATGTATATATGTATATATGTATATATATTACGCTTACTGTATCTTGATTATATCGGTTAAAATATCTCTTAAGCGCAAGATTATAGATCGCGAATATAATTACGCTATGTCTGTTTAGTATTTCTTATTATGCTATGCGATAAAGTAACCGGGAGTAATCTTCCTTATTTTATGATTAACTCCCTTTATAGAACTCTTTCGTTTGTAGAGGAATATAAATAGTCACTACGCTGGTATCAATTATTTAAAGCAGAATAAAGCTTCCTTAAACCTACTCTTGCTCTCTTTTGTTATTGCATGCTGGTTTCCCAATGTTCCCATCATTCGACTATTAAAATAGGACGAGCTTTTCTTTTCTATAAAAGAGACGAGTAATATGGGTATTCTTTTTTACTTTATGTTTTTATGCTTACTGATTTTGCAACAGATGTTAAACATCTAGAAAAAAAATCCAAATTTAGCTGCCATATTCCCATTTGCAAGAGAAAGAATCATAGAAATGTTAAAGTTAAAATAAAACAACAAAAAGAACTATTTGATAACTCCTCTGACATCACTTCCGGCTCAACGTTTAATCTCATATTTATCTCTAAAAATGTTTCTAAATAATTAAAATCTATTTTTGCTTTACTTTATTTCAATTCTTTAAACCGAATCCTAAGAAAAGCTCTCCGTTTTCAGAAGTTATTTAATTCTACATTTTCTTTACAGATTTGTTTCTCACAAATAATTTTATAATTTCAATATTTTTTTTAACTTAATGAATGAGTATAGATGATAATAATAAACCTATTGTAAAATGAATGTTTTAGTTTTATTACTCTCTATGTTGAAGTAATTTTCAACCAATCATATATTTATTTTGTAATCGATGTCCTTCTCTTTTCCTTATAACAGAACATATTCCGAGTTACGTCATCGCTTTACTCATCATCTGTTTCATTGGTCTTCTTGGAATGATCATTGGTTTTTTCATCAACAGGTTAGAGAATCTTTGTTTTGCATTTATCTCCCTTGACGGTGTTAGCTACATCATAAAAAATGGTCACCTGCTTAGCTTTTTATGTTTACTTTTATATATGGAATAACTTTTATATTTTATGGATGTTATAAAATAATTATTTATTTGTAAAATTCATTTTATTCGTCGTCTAGTTTAAGTTTTAAGCCTTTCCACCTTCTTTTTATTATATTTCTCGGTTAAAAATTTCTATATCTACATTTGCATTTAGTTTGTAACAAATAGTGAAGGAAAAGAAACATTGTGGGAAATAAAAAAAAACCAACAAAATAAATAAATAAATAAATAAATAAATAAAATAACAATAAAATATTATTTTCCTATAATGCAAATTATAAAGAAACCGGTGTGGGTTTCTGCGCATATGTGCGATTTTATGACCCCCTCCACTTCCGGAAAGGACAGAATCTTTTAATTTTTTTTTTTATTTTCCAAAGATATCGTTCGGGCGTGTTTTAGCAGCCCTACTCATGAAGTAGAGATTTGGTCATCCCAACTCAGCGGTAGGCTGACTTGAGCTCGACCATTTTTACCCGTTCTTATTCTTACTTCCCAGGAATTATTTCTGAACTAAAAAGGAAAACGGATTCAAGACTCAAGAGACGTTTAAATTTGTTTCAATACAATCAACATAAAAGGAATAAACACCCGTAGCAGAAACACATTTTTTGTATGCTTCTTCTATCTGCTTTGTTTACATATTGAAAACACACTTTGACCTTCAACTTTACCTAAAAATACACACAAAATCCACAATCTTGTTAACTCCTACAATATCCTAATCTACAATATTTAGCTAACCTTGGTTGAACTAACACTGAAATAGAATGGTGTAAAAAGACAATATAACATTTATATACAAAAATACAATCTTGAGTCAAAGTATTTGTAGAAGAACTAAGTTGTCCATGTTGCCACGTATGTTTACGCACACAGAATAACAAGCAATAAGAAATGCTGACAAAGGAATCAAATAGCCTCATATCTGAATGTCAAAGTGTTTCACCATAAAGAGCCATGATGAGATATTATCTCTCTTGCCATGAGATAAAGCAATGGACGCACGGCAATTGCTTTCATTTAGCAAATTCAAAATAATCCCTTTTTTATTCCAGATAAAATCTGATAATTTTAATCATGTCTGTTTATATTTCTAAGATGAGGTATTACGTACACTATTTACATTATTCGGACTATTGTCCTTATCTTTGTCGCCATATATATTACAACGTTTCGGCCGTTGTACGCTCCGGCCTTCTTCAGGTGGTTAGAATGTCGAACTGAACCCTTTATTTCACTCACTGTTGTAGACTGTTCTAGTTCCACGTGCCATGTCTAATGGATGTTATTTATCAATTATCTCTTGTTATTTCCCCTCTCCAACTTCTCCACCGCATTAACCAGGTATTGAACTCACGCTCTTTGGGTTCTGTCACTGGATCTAACTAACGCCTTTATCCACTGTGCTATTGAGGACATCTGTGTATGAATTTCTGGGTCTTATAAACCTAATGTCTTCAGCAATCATTTTTTACCAGTGCTCATATTGTAATTTCCGCTGTTATCATTCCATGTTTTTACCAGAGCTCTAATTGCAATTTTTGTTGTTATTATTGCTCTTCTCTAGCACTCCTTATTACTGGTTCCCATATTGTGTTCATTTCTATGCTTGGTCGGCTCAGGAGATTTTTGTGGTGATTCCTTAAGTTTGAAGAAGGCCGAGCGTACAATGGCTGAAACGTTGTAATAAATATGTCGACAAAGATGAGGACAATAGTCCGAATAATGTAAATTTTATTTGTGTATGTCAAATTTTTGTTTTATATCAAATTTCCTTTTTTGTATGAAAAATTTTGCTTTTTGTTTTGCTTTTTTTTTTTCATTTCACCCCAAGCAATGAATAAAAGCCACTAGTTTGAATTGATTGGTTGATATAATTTTTAAGGCTTATCAACCTTTTGCAGGTTATTTAAAGCCAGAAAATATTTTTAGATTGTAAGATTATTTGGGAAATAATAATGATTTACTGCTACAAGTCCTACTAATTAACCCATAGCAGGGAGAAGAGGGGGAGTCATTCATTTCCCAAGTTTATTTGCACGTAAGTGAATATAACGAACCCAACTGGAATTCGAACTCGACTTTCCGATTTCCAATTCCGAGAAGTTATCCATTACATCACCCACACATCCAAGCTTACAGCACCCAAACCGACACCCATCTAGGCTCGACGTTGATTGTATGAGAACCGGTGATATTGTCATAAACCAAAAGCTACTAGGATGCAGGGGGTTACTGACAGAGAAAGAAACAGAGAACAGGGTAAAAAATTAGCCAATGAGATTCAGTTATTTACTTCAGCCTTTCTCCTCCACTCCGTCAGCATCTTTAAGTCGTCTGATCTCCAAGGTAATTGCTGTATATTGTACTTAATAAAACCAGTTTATTGCAGTACATTCTATTGTATTCTGTTTTTATACAATATTCATTATACACTTTCCTTATTTAAAAACGTAACAAAAATTGCGATGCTTCTTGATGTCCGGAACGGATTAATGGAATTTCAATTCATTTCAGTGGTGAAAATTGATTTGACATACGAATAATTTGAATTACGAGTTCCTTCACAGAACGAATTAAACTCGTAAGTCAAGGCATCACTATATAGATATATATATAGTTTATGTAAACTTAGGCAATCCGTATGGGTAGACCCGAGGAGGATGATATCCAGAGAGCTCAATGTAAAATTCAGAGCAGATATGATTGAATAAAAAACAGACCACGTTAAGATTCCATGTAATAAGCTATTTCACCATAACCCCTTTAACAGGGTTCTGGATCATCAGACTTTACTTCCAAAAGCTGAAATGAAAAATGAAAAGAAGTTCACACGTTTTTGACGGACCTCATCAAGTATACGTAAAATTAACGAAGTGAGGAAGTGAGGTGGGAGAGAGGATATGAGTGTGTCATATGTATCATTTCACATATGACACACTCATATCATATTGATGAGGTACGTCAAAAACGTGTGAATTTCTTTTCATTTTTCATTTCAGCTTTTGGAAGTAAAGTCTGATGATCCAGAACCCTGTTAAAGGGGTTATGGTGAAATAGCTTATTACATGGAATCTTAACGTGGTCTGTTTTTATTCAAATATATATATATATATGAAGAAATTTTGAAAAAACAAACAAAAATCCTTAAATGTAGTTAAATGAAAGAAATGTCGACGTCTGACGTTTCGGTTTGACAACTGAATTGTATTTTGATGAATATTGTCTTGAAAAAGGTTTAATAAACCGAAACGTCAGACGTCGACATTTCTTTCATTTAACTACATTTAAGGATTTTTGTTTGTTTTTTTTCAAATTTCTTCATTCTGTCGGATTTATATCCATTTACACTTGCTTATATATATATATATATATATATATATATATATATATATAGATAGATAGATAGATAGATAGATAGATGCAAATATATAATTATTTCTTAAAAATATGATTCCATCGCGACGCAGAAATTACTATGTTTCGGAACTAGACTCAAGTCTTAAAGTTTAATTTCAATATTAAACTTAAAATTTAGAGTACGGTTTCATTCTCAAGCGATGTTTTAGAATAACTCACTGAAGAAACGCTTTACTCATTTACAAAACGGAGGTGTAATCGGGGGTTTTTCTTTCGTTATCAAGGGGTCACTTGTGTGATGAAAGTATGAATATTTATTATATGTCAAAATTTGACATATAATAAATATTTCCAACCTATAAATGAGTAAAAATGTCCTTTTCGTGTCCTGCAGGTTTCTCTGGGGGTCTTTAGTTCGTCTACATTTTTCTCGGGGATTTTTTCTATTTGAGATTTTATTTGCTTACTGCTCCTGGCTGTCTCCGTAATTTTTTCGATTTTTAAATCAGGAATTAGTTGTAATCTTTCGGATAGGTCTTTATTCTGTACTTCTCTCACAAGACTGTCTCTGATTTGCTCATTTTTACTTAGAAACTCACATACTTCTGCTAATTCGTGCAATGCGTGAATAAAGGTTTCCACTGGTTCTCCTGGTAATTGAACTTTAAAAGTTAAAATGTTGCCCTTTCATGAATTATATTTCTTTTAGGCATGAAGTAAGCACTGAATTTTTCCAAAACGGAAACGTACACATTTGCGTCTTCTCGTCGTGAGAAAGAAAATGTCTGGAATATATTTTCAGCGTCGCTTCCCATGCAATATATTAATGTACTTATTTGAATTTTATTATATTCTTCCCAGAGTTTTGATCTTTCTTGAAAGCGTTGACATCTCTGTGAACATATCTATCAATTTCCGGGGATTTGTAAAAACAAACGGCTCTGGTGTAATTAATTTCAACATTTTTTCTTCTTGAATATTTTTTTTTCGAATTGGGTTCTGTTCTAGAAATCTAGAAATAATTTTCTTCTTTTTGAAACAATCTCTCTCTGACATTATGCTCCACTGGGCTTAGGGTGAAAAGATATATTCTATGAGACTGGCTACTGAAAAGTCGAAGCAACACAAAAACTACACGAGATGTGGTAAACTCAATAACGTATTTATTTAAACTGCCCGTTGGATTCATCTTCATCCCAGCATTCGCTAGTGGAACCGGAAGTGCTTACAATCATCATCATCATCATTATTGATGTTGTTATAACAGACCCAAACCTTGTTAATGAAATTGAGTAAATGAAACTGCTTGAAGACTTTCGATTGATGTACTAGCACGAACCCACAAGTGATCGTGACCGAGGAGGTTAGTGTACTGTTTTTTTTTTAAACTGTTGATCACGCCAGATGATACGTTCTAGGCCACAAACTGTAAATAAAGGTCAGCTCAATATAGTAGCTGTATAAACCGCAGATGGGTATTGTGGGTGTTGCAAAAACATAAATGTGCTTGAACAGGTGTCTGCAATAGGCATATATTAACCGCCCTCATAGTCGGGTGGGTCCAGGAACGAGTAATCGGACATTATATATCTTGTCCTCAAATTCGAATATTTCTATTTTATTTGAAGCATTTTGAAATCGAGTTGATACATTACATTTTATTATTTCTTTCGACGGTAAAAGCCTAATTTTTTCCGTGATAAAAATTATTTTTCTATCTACAAAAAAGAAATAAAAGAGAAGATTCAAGCCGTTTCTTAAAATGAATTTCCCGAAGGCCAGATATTTTTTAGCTGCGTCTCCTAAATTTCAACTGAAATATTATCTTTTATGTGGAAAATATGTTATTGTAAAATTTGACTGACTTTATTTTTCGTCACGATACCAGGAATGCTTGTTTTTGCTCCCGAATTATCTCCCTTTATTTTATAGCTTTTATTTCCACATTTACGTCCCCTTTTGCTTGATGATTTTGCAAATTTTGGAGTTTTAATGGATTACCCATATAATGAGGAAGAGAACGTGGAAAATTTGACACTCACGGGACAGATTGAATGCAAGTGAGATAGAGGGAAACAACACTTAAACCTACGTAGCGAGATTGTATAAATGGCCAGCAGGACAGAGTTTAGGAGAGATAACAAAAAGATATTTTTAAATGCTACAAAGGAGAAAAAATTGTAGAGCTCCATGATCATCAACGTCCTGAAAGGACACGGTACATAAAAGAAGAAGAATGGCTCGCCGGATGGACTTTTTAAAAAAACTAATACTTATTTGATACAGCTCATAAAGGAACTTGTTTTGCTCGTTGCAGATGTGATATCCTCTATTTTTATAACGTCGAAATAAAATAGAAAATTTACGGGCTAATTATTTATTAAGTGCGTAAATTACTCTTTTTAAGTAGTTACACGTTTACTTATCTACTCTCAGTTGCGTCTCTATCTTTGGGCAGAGTGCGCTCAGGGGCCTCTCTATCAAAGGATAGAGGGCAACTGAGGAAAATAATACTGAAGTGGTGCCCTTGGGAACAGCTACCCGAGGCCGCGCCCTCCCTTTGAACCAGAGAGGGGGGGGTCGGTCTTCGCACCGAGGCCAGCGCAACCGACAGTTGGTGGGGCTGAGGGGAATTTTTGTTTCTGTCCCGGGCGTACGCGTTCGGATCCCCACCTAAAAATAGACCTTGTGTCACATCTCGCCCAAGTGGAGGGACAGAAGAGTAAATACCGTGCTAATTATTTATTATTATTTTTTAATTTTTTTCTTTCTTTCTTATTTTCTTTCTTTTTTATTTATTTTCTTTCTTTTTTTCTTTCTTTCTTTCTTTCTTTCTTTCTTTCTTTCTTTCTTTCTTTCTTTCTTTAATATATCATATAATTATGTCTGTTCCTCCGTTAGTTAGTAAATTAGCACGTGCATTAGGACCTGTCATTACCTCAGATAAATAATTGGCCATTCCGATTTGATTGTGACGAAAGACGGGAGAAAAATATATATCTTTGGTTTTAGCGAAGGAAGGAAGGAAGGAAGGAACGAACGAACGAAGAAAGGGGAAAACAAGAGACGATAACGCTCTCATGCATTTAACGTCTGCTTCAGAGAAATGGAAAATAGAAGTGGACAGTCTTTTAATTTGTACTCTCTTCTTTAAATAACGTTTCATTTGTACCCTTTTACTTTAAATAATCTGCTTTCATACTCATGGCCAATGATAGCTAGATTTTAATAAACCTAAGGTTCCTGATATTCCTGAGCTTCTACGGTACAAAAGGTTTCGGAAACGGTAGTAACATGTCACACATTATAGCTTGGTTTTTACTTGTGTAATAAGGCTTCAACATGCAAAGATATTACATAGGCTCGTAATTTATTTCCTCCTTCTTTCTTCTTCAGTCCTCCGAATTTGAAGTGAGTAGGTGAAAGGAGTTGTTATTATTTCGCCCTCACTACAACACCACAACACCACAATTTATTTCCAGTCAGAGCCTTGTTACATGTCACTTTAGTGTTAGCAAAAACTGGTCCTAGAAATCCTATTCATCGAATATCGATGTGCTGAATTTCTAGGAGCCAGTCATCCAAGGTTTCAGCTTATTCGGTATTCTTATCAAAACAGATAACGAATTCCTGTTAAACTCTTTTTTTTTTTTCAAAATTATTTCCCTTTGTATCTTCTGCCTCTTCAAATCATAATCCGTCCTTTATTTAAACATTATTTTATTCATTTATTTAGACGCATTCAAGAGAAAAAGAACATGAAAGCCATGGCTTGGAGAATTGATATTAATGATGTAAAATTCAACGCAGATAAACGGCGTAGCAACGTAGATTTTTCTACGAGTCTGGTAAGATATTCACTTGCAATTATAACTGAATGTGATTTGTATTAGTTACACACGCAAACAGAGAATAAATTATTATTATTGTATTAAAAATAAAAGAAAACCCCCAAAGATATTCAAGATAAAAAAATCACTGTATTTAAAAAAAGCGCTGTTTGAGTGAAGAAATTTATTCAAATATATTTATTATCTTTTTTTTTTAAGACTTCAACTCCAAGCAAGGCGGGAAGCCACTAGTACATAAGGGGTTACAGATAGTTGGAGCGAGAACAAAGAGGACTGATAGAGGAAAGGATGAAGAAACGGTTAGGGGATAGATCAGGGCATCTGGAGACGTCAATTGACGTTACATTTGAATAGTTGGAGATTATAGCTATCAGGAAAACAAGACATGAGGAGGGAGTTCCACAGGCGAGAAGTGCGAGACATGAAGCTATTGGAGTAGAAGAGTCGGCTACATTTAACAGTTTCGACAGTGAAAGGTTGAGAGCGAGATGCTAGCCTATTTGAGCCTGTCTATATCTTTCAGATGAAGTATTATGATTACATTATTTAGCAATGAAGATGAGGATATCAGTCCGACCAATGTAAATAATGTAAGTGATCATATTTATTAACCCGTAATATATTCAATTATTTTTACAAATCTTTTTATTTTTAAATGAATATTAAAACATTTGTTAAACTAAAGATTGAATGAATGAAGCTAAGTTTGACTAAGATGTAGCGGCATCGCTTGAAAGAAAGATTCATTTCCCCATTTTACGCTTCTCCCGTTATGGGCATTATTATATCACGGGCGGAACGGAATGGTTGAAAAGAAAAAGAATTACAAACATGCCTTGTTCTCAGATTTTTATATTATTAAGGTATACAAGACCATATATATATATATATATATATATATATATATATATATATATATGTGTGTGTGTGTGTGTGTGTGTGTGTGTGCGTGTGTGTGTGTTTGTGTGTGTCACCTGGAGAACAATTTATCGCATATATCTATAAGGCAGAGTGTAAGTAGAAACAAAAAGGAAAGGTAGTACGTATAATATGGAGATACTCCTGACCTGGAGAAGCCATTTTTAGGACTCCAGATTCAAACGGGCCGTAAGTTACTGGGGAGACAGATTTAGCCTCAATCTGGGCCTTTTGGTCCAGGCTAAAAGAAAGCAACCTTACCGTTTGGTTGCTGTCCACGAGTTGTATGGCGAGACGTTATTAAGCGGCCGTCATGTGACCCACTTGATGTACCTCCATCAAAGGGAGATAAGCGCCATTTGTATTGTTACAAAGAATTAGTTTAAGGAGGAACTTAGAATTTAGTGAGCGCTATCTATATTATTCTTGCTATTATTTTCCAATCAGCTCCTTTTGTATTAAATGTTTAGTAAGTAAAGGAAGTATTAACAAATAAAGATAAGGTGAAAGATAGTGTTTGCATCTGTCTTCCGAGTGTTGAAAGCCTGTGCCTTGAAAATCAGTAATCGAAATTCTGGACTTGAACACCGATTACTGGTTCCATCGAAAATACGCAATTACCTTACGTTCTATTTAAGCACTAAGCGGAATTTTTCATACAATATTGCGTTATTTTCGCCTGAGGTAGATTGCGAATTCAATGTCGATTATATTTTAACGATTTCAGTCGTTGAGTGTTTTCAGGTCTATACATCCCAGGCGGTTTTTGCTATTTGGTGTTATTTTTATCGATACCATCTCTAGATAAAGTGCTTCCAAAGTCTAAGCAGCATCTGTCTGTCCATTAAGTGAGAAGTTGCGACTATGCACAAACGCAATCATCGACGGTTTCCAAACAGTTCAATCTACTCAGTTACACTTATACGGCGTGGACGAATGTGAGGTACCCGGTCCCGGGGTACAGCTACCCGTGGCAGTACCTCCTTCATTGTACTAAATAGGGAGGATCAGTATTCAAACAGATGCCAGCGCAACCGACGGTTGCGAGGGCTGTGTAATTTTTGGCCCTGACCCGAATGTACGCTCTCGGATGCCCCATATTAAACCCCACCTTGTGTCACATCACGTCTCAGTGGAGAGACAGGTAAATACTGCAAGGTCAATATATGGATGGTTTTCAGGTGCTTCTCAACAGTGCCGTGTGCTGGGATAGTCTTCCTAGGACAACATTGTCAAGAAGTTACCTTTAATTTTAACTAAACGACCATGGTGAGATTTGAACCCGTGTCGCAAGGTCATAACGCTAATGTTTTAATCAATCAATCACTCCCCCATATGCATGTTTCATATACATATTAAATACCTCTGATCATGTGCATATATACAGGGTGCGATGAGTAAATTGTCGACATTTTACATGTTTAATTTTGCGCATGCACGTTGTTTGCTTTTGATTTTTTCGACTTCATACTATGGTAGGGCCCATTGGACACCATCTGTGAGAAACAGAGCATCCTAACGCAGTTCACTTTATCAGAAATTTGGAAACGGCATTCCGTACTGTTTGGCATTCGCGCCGGAAGCTCCAATAGGAACATTTCAGAGTGTTTGGCATTCTGTACTGTGAGGACAGTGTAGAGGATTCGGAAAGAGATAAGTCTCATGGTGATTACGAAGGTGTTTGGAATGATCATTAGTGATGGGGAGCCTAAGACTCGGCACGGAGGTCTACATCAAGTACCTTGAGGAGGTAGTGCTGCCCTGGGTCAAGAGGGTAGCTGTTGGAAGATCCTATGTCTGGTAACAGGACTCTGCGCCATGCCACACGAGCAGGAAGACAATTTCTGCGACCACATCACCCCTTACATCTGGCCACCGAACTCCCCAGACTGCAACCCCCTTGATTATTATGTGTTGAGCGCAGTTGAGTAAACGACCAACAAAACTCCTAGTAACATCAAAGATGAACTGAAGGGAAGGATTATGACAGCATTCATTAACTTAAACATGGAGATCGTCCAGATGAGTTGCAGGAGATTCCGGAGTCGATTGGAGGCCGTGGTTGAAGCCAATGGCGATTTTATTAAATAAATTTACTCTTTAGTATTTCAAGATATTTTTGTGTAATTTTGGAAAAATATATCTGTTAAAATGTTATGTCATTGTTATTTTCACTTTTGCGTAATTTAGACGACAATTTATCCCTCACACCCAGTATATATATATATATATATATATATATATATATATATGCAGATTTTTACTACGCATATCTTAGTCTGGCACAGGGCTAAAACAGAAACGTACTCTGTTCAGAATGAAAACTCACTTCGCTTGTTGTTATAGTGGAACACACCTATTCTATATTTAATAGACTCTCCCACCTATAATAAGTAAAAGTAACGAGTGAGTCGGTGAGTCAGTCGATGTCGGACGACCGGCTGATCGGTTGAACTCTCTGCCTTCGGGCGGGGAGGAACCCGAACGAGGCAGAGCCTCGTTCGGGGAGGTAAACCGACCCTGAACCCGTTTATACGGGTTCAAAGGGTATATTTTTGGCCGATACCACGGGCTCGGAGATCCCCCATTAAACCGTCTATGTGCCACATGATACCCTCGTGGGTGGTGGGTGACTAAATACTAGTCGATGTTGGACGACAGTTAGTTGAATACTAAAGTATCAGCGACCACAACTAGATTACTCTGCGTTATACCTATTATATAAAGTTCCTAACGTTTTGTACGTCGAACCTATTTTAGGACCGACTTAGTACAAATACAAAACCTCCACTGTAAAATCATTCCACAACACTTGTAATGAACATCTAGCTTGTAAGCAATCGCTCTACGACATGTACCTAGAATGAGATCACTTGGTACCACACTAGACCACTACTTCAAGTCGCCTGTATGGATTAAACTAATTACAATAGTAACGATATACAAGACGGACTTATTAACTGTTACTTGACGGCCTGTATTCAATAAATCTGTCTATTTATTTATCACATCGACCGCGGTCGGGATCACAGTCACTACAAACTCCATGATACTTTCGATGATTGCATAGTATATGCTTCGCCAGGGCTGCATACAGTTTTGAATTCAGAGTTGCGCTTCTCCTAGACTGGCTATCAACCACGGCCAGAGAGTCCAGATTATCCATTACCGGACGATAAGAGATAATAAGAGTAATTTTTCAAGGCTATTTGTGTGAAAGCGAAAGTAACTTATACACCCAGTATTCGAACTCGACTCATCAATTTCTCGTTTCGAATCACTAACCATTTTACACTAAGAAATAACACTACCTGAAAATTTCAAGAACTTTCCTAAATTATAATATAGATAACACATTATTACAGAGCTCGACTTACAAGTGCCGATCAAATTTGGGATGCCGGTGATCCAACACTCCATGCTTGTCTACTGAAAACAATAAGAAGAGCATTATAACAATTGGGTTACATATGCGAATCTTGTGGCATGAAGCCGCCTCGTTGCTTGGTAAGAATTTGGGTTAGTGGTAAAAAGTGGAATTAAGAAGATTAAATGCGCTGAGACGAAACGACAAAACAACGCATACGAAAACAGCTGGAAATTCACGAGATCACTTTTACACCATTTTGACATTCCACCATTCGTTTTCCTTAATTCTTTTTTTTTCTTCAGTTTTATTTTTTAAAGACGACACTGGAGAATCGTCTACAGACGCCGACAAATAGAGGCACCATGAAGAATAAAAACAGTCCCCGGAAAGGAAAAACAACTCAATTTAATACAATACATTTGTCAAAAAAAATAAAAATAAAAATAAAAAAATAAAATAAAAAGAAAAAAGTGATGCCAAAACTTATTAAGATCTAATTTCGTCTTTCGTTTATTTTGAGTTGTGAACAAATCGCCCGACTTAAAAAAAAGAAAAGAAAAGAAAAAAGAAAATAGGAAAGAAGATATTGTTGTACCTAAAAACACAAAAACAAAAATGACAACAAACAGTAAACAATAAAAACAAAAGCACTACAAGAAATATAAAAGGTACAAAAGAAAAATATAAATATATGATAGTATTTCTAAAT